GCTGCCACAATGTAGCTTATATGCCTGTAGCACACAATCCCTCCATTTTGAAGTCAAAACAGTATTTACTGGAGATCATTCAAACATGAAAATCATCTGACAGCGATATAGAACCTGGCTAAAGTTTGGAAAACAATGACTTGTATCAATAAAAGGCATCTCTAATCATCTACTATAGACCAGAAAAAAACAAAAAGGAACACCAACACCATCAAAAGAATAGTGTTACAAATGGTTAAGAGTAAAATAAACCTCAAAACATTTCACCTAATTCTAATTTAAATAACTTTTTAATTTAACAAAATATTTAAAAAAATGAAAGAACTCCCAAATTAAATTACAAGGTAATCATTCTAAATTTGAAACAGGGTTTTAAAGATACTGAAACTATATATCAGAAGTAATATATGAAATGAAAAAGAAGAGATCAGGGGGCCTGACCAATCACATTGCTTCATAGTCGATATTAGTGAACATGGACCCATCCTACAGAAGTTTCCCTCTGTGGTTCTCAAGGAAGGGGAGGTATGTGTCAGTGTTATATACAGGATAGGCTCTAAAAGTGTCCAGTACAGGATTTGAAACCAACAGAATAGCAGCACAGCTATCCCCACACTCCACTGGGAAGAGTTTAGTGGATTACACCCTATAGGTCGCCATACGCAAGCATCAGCAAATACATTCACTTTTTAACACCTTGAATATCTTATGAGCTGGGCTGGAAATTTTTGGCTGTTTTCACATTACATTTGTTATCAGGGAGAAAGCCTATTGCTATAAAGTTACACAATGCATATCCCCCTGTGCAATATGCAAAATATAATCTGAGTCCCAGCCATATAGACAATCATTCGGTGGCCGTATTGTAGGTTATCAAAACTGCTTAAACATGGCCAGATTACATCTGCCAAGACAGATTACAGCATTGCATAAACATTAGTAAACAATTGCACAGCACTGGAAATTAAATAGAGCAGATACTGACGCTATGAAAGTGTACATATTTAAAAAAGGTTTTGATGAGTTTGAATACCCCAGGTTCTTGCTCAGACTGGCCATTAATGGCTCCATCCTGATCAGATGAATGAGTTTAATAAAAGGTACCCCTAGAAATTTAAACCAAGTGTATCCAATGTTGACAGCACTCATGGTCACACAGGGAAATTTCCTTCATTTTTTTTTTAAAATGCTTGATACCCAAAGGATACTTCCACTGAGAAAAACAATATGCGGCACTTCGTTGCAGTAGACACAAATGAGCAAATGGGGTACAGATGTTTCCCTGACCACCATGTTTGGAGGACAGGGTATGGATGACTGGACAGGGGACAGGTTTCTCTCTGTAGGTCTATGGCTAGCTCAACAACAAAACAAAAAAAAGAAAAAAAAAAAATCCTTGCATTGCAATGTCCCGAGAACAAGGTCACGTGTGGGGGGGGGGGGGGGGGGGGGGGGGGGGGGGGACTGGGGGGGTTTTCTACACCAGGTGCCATGGGGGTTCAAACACAACAAAATTCCGCAGTAGAAACACTACTGTAACACTACAACACTCTAAATACCACCACCTTACATCTCGTATATTAAAACTGACCCAGTTCAGTAACTTTGAACTACCTTAAAAGCTAAGTAGTAGATGGCACTGGATTGACTTCTTCTAACTCCTCCTGGGGACTCCAGAGCACAGATCTACTCAATGGAGCGTGCCCAGGTCCACCCAACAGGGTCAATACTAAGAAAAGAGTGTCTCATGCCAGCACAATCTGTTATGCAAGGGAAAAAATTAAATGAGAAAACCAGCGGCAGTTAGACACCTTTCTTATGACCACAGCAGGTAGATGAATAACTCAGTGATTTTGTTACTAGACAACCACATAGCTAGTGATCGAGTCAATCTACTAATATCCATCCAGCAGTTAAGGCAACTTGGCTGTACTTCACCATTAAGTGAAAACAAAATCATACAAACAAGAATAAACTGTTGAAATCTAACTAGGTAAATATGCTTGTTGATAAAGCTTTTGTACTGCTACAGGGACAGTTCACACTTCAATTAGCTGCTTGAGCGATGTTTTTAGATAAAGTAGTACCTTTAGTCCACACATAATAGTCTAATGTTTTGACAGTTTTTAATATGAAAGATGTTAAGTGAGAAATTTGAGTGACTACTGTATCTCTGCAGGGATAACAGATGGTACAAGCGTTTCCAATGAAAGAAAACCATTGTTTTAACATCCCAATGGTTAAGCAACATTAATCTATGTCCCCAACCGGGATCTATGATCTATGCATTAGCCATATCAATTACATGTGTATGCGTCCGTGAGTATGCCTATGTACATACATCTGTGCATGCATATTAATGTGCACAATATGCCCGTGGTGACCAGCAATGGCCACAGTAAAGGTTCTGGGCACTATATGTAAGCTTCCAGCTGGTGGTCTGCCAGTCAACAGAGAACACCTGACAAAGCTGTGTAGTACAAGTACTACTTTGTCTCTTAACAGAAAGGGAGGTTAGTTTTATGACAGAGTTGGTCCACAAAGCCGTGCCTTAGCAAAACTGTTACAAAAACAAAAATTACTTACATCCTTCAGACAATTAACGCGGCCAAAAAAAACACTGCTGAAAGGGCTAATTAACGTGTCAGGGAAAATAAACTGTACTGGATAAACTCTGATACCCATTACATTAGAACTGTTTCCCATGTTCTGCATTTTACAATGTTTTATTTTGTCTAAACAGTTGAAAGCAATGAACAAGAAAAATGAAAAAACTATAAAACCTAGCACAAAAAATAAAGCTTCTATAAAACATAGCATAAAATACAGTATTTGTCTGGTTCCTAACCCGATACAGGAAAGAAAGGCTGAGTAAACATGTGAATCATACTGATTTTCTACTATTTATAAGGGTCTTCAAAGCAGACATATCAGTAGGTCCGGTATGGTCATATCTTTGCAGTACCAATATAGATTGGCCTTATCCAACTGACCGCATGCTGGTCTCTAAATAGCAGGAAGATTTCACCATTTAGTGAAGAAAAATTATGAGCAAGACAGGTTTACTTTAATAGAATCTGTTTCTTTTGAGTTATTTCAGTCAGTTTAATGCAAGTCCATTGAGCCATGTGACCTGGTAATACATCCTTTAAGCATGAGCTTAGGAGTGTATATAGTGGGCACTGAACACAAATTCATGTTGGGTATCATCAGTAAGGAAGGGGAAATCTCACTAACGGGGACACGGATATAGAAGACCTTACAAGAGGTTCAAACGCTTTCCCTCTTTTGAGCTAGCCAAAAAGAAAGATTTTGACTGGAGCTTCACTTTACCAAATCAAACAAACCAATCCGTTTTTTATGCACAGTTCCTACTAAGTGCATCCCTAACCTAATGCTATACAACAGTGGTTTGCAACTTGTGGCATGCAGTACAGATATCTGCGTCCTTCAGCCCATCATGCATGGTTTAGTTCCATTTGCTACACCAGTTTGTGTGGGTTACAATGTATGGAAATGGGCTGCCTAGGGGAAGCAAGGGAAAAGAAGACTAGGAACCACAGCTATAAAAGGATGTATTATAAAGTCAGATAGCTCATTATGCAGCGCTTAACTTAGTATTGTCTGCTATAGTACAGCTATTCACCTTTATGACTATCTTTGGGGGATGATGACAGTGAATAAAAAAAAAAAAAAAAAATAAGATGAGAGAACGCCGAGGCCAAACATAGGCAAGCCACAAGCGAATGATCCACCTCCAACTCTGAATGTTTTAACTTTCAAAAGAGAAAAGTCATTGTTAAGGCCTTGTAAAAAGGAAAAAAGCAAAGTTCAAATGTAACTCAATAGCATAGCCCTGTGAATTACTGCCTGAATCTGTAGTAATGTAGTATCACAACTAAAGGATGGAGGAGTGTAAATGGGATTAGGACGGTAATAGGACCCTTGACATCAATCTGTCTGTCCCCAAGCACCAATAGCTCAGAGCATGACATGACTGACTCTAAAGGGTTGTAAATACTGCATATATACTTCTAGGTATATACACAAAAAAAAAAGGGTGAAATTATATACATATATTTTTATGTAGCTGTATATATACACAGTATATATACCAGTATATACACATACATACATATAATACAAAGTAACCACTAAGTCTGCTCTTCTACACACCTGGTCCTTCCCATTTAAACGCAAGGTTTAGAACAGAACTCAAGGACCAGAGTGCAAAACACACGAGCAGAGCGGTTACAGTTTAATAATCTGATACTACTCACCTAATTTTTTTAACCAGCTAACACTGATTTGCTTTTCCAGCCCTAATACAAAGTCACTTCTATATTTACATATTCGTTCAGTTATCACATGTCGTTATTTGCATGTGTATGATACCAACTGCAAAGATTTCAAATTATTTTATATACCACATGTATATAAACCTCATGTGTTCATGTAAAAAATATGCATATCTGTAGTGCATGCTGACATACATGTTAAAATGTATGCTGCAACTTCTATATGTACTCCTAAGTATGAGATGATACACAATATTGTCATATACTGTGTCATTTGTCTATATACATGTAGTAATTCTATTTAGAGTTATAGATTAGTATTGCTCAGTAATCCTTTCTGGCTCCTGCTGCAGTAGAGAACACAGAATGGGAAAGCGGTTCCTGAAAGGGGTCATACAAACTTGTCTGATAGAAAGTCAGCCATGCAAATTCTTGATGGTTATAAGGAGTAAGAATGTAATGTATGACCTTTCCTAAACCTCATTCCTGCCATCAATCAGGTGTGACCTGCGTTCACGTTCACACAGTGATAAACAATGTAATAAGTCTCTAATTCGCAAACCATCAACTGGCAGTGCCCATAACAAGAACGTAACAAAAGACGGGATGCCTCAAATCAGTTTCTACCCTTTTCCGCACGTGCGGATCAATTATGTACGCTTTGCCAAATGTCCATTTCTTCTGCATCAACGGGAAGGTCCTTCAGTCATCCATTGCAATATTGCGGAAAGAGGTAAGACATGGACTCCCCATTGTGGATTCGACGAATAGCCTCTGAGAGAATAAGGCTGATATCCACCGTTTTGATCTTTGCGCACTGCAACTTTTGCACCTCATGAGGGACAGTGTTGGTCACTACAACCTTGCATGCAAAAGAGAGGGGGGAAAAAAAAAAAAAAAAAAAAAAAAAAAGGATTTTAGTGTAACAAAATCAATTTAGATCTATTTCAGGGCAGTTTAAGGTACCAGGAGTATAAAATGAGAATACTTACTGTAAAATCTATTTCTTGGGAGTTCATTGAGGACCATTGACACAGGAATTCAGATACTAAAGAGGTATACTGCCACCTACATGAAGTTTGGACACTGGCATAGAGACATGTAAGCTAGCCCTGGTACACAATGGCTTGGGACCTGTGTTCTTTTTGTAAAATCTTTTTCTCAAAAATTCAAGAAGAGGGATTCTGACTTATCTGAAAATTCCATATGCTGAAGTACAGTACATGACACAGGCTGAGTATTCATAGACCCCGTGTTATAGGCTTGTACCTTCAGGTGATTGGACATTACACTGGGCACCTCCACTATAGTTGTACCCCATTCTGTACGTACTCTGTTTTGAAGTAACGCAGAGTAACGAACCAAGAAATAGAAGGGAGGGTGGCTGTATCCTGTACTCAAAGATATTACATTTAATTAAAAAAACCTCTTATCTTAATCGTACAGTACAGGACACAAGTCTGGAGATGTTGCCAAAACAATGAAAGGGAAAGGTGGACAAAAATTAAACAAACAGAAGTGCCAACAGGCCAAACAGCAGCAAGGGTCAACAGATCCAATGTCAGAGAGTAATGCTAAACTTGGAAGCAAGATGCCCTTTAACCACTTGCCTACAGGGAACTTATACCCCCTTCGTTCCCATGCCAATTTTTAGCTTTCAGCGCTGTCGCACTTTGAATGACAATAGCGCGGTCATGCAACATTGTACCCATATGACATTTTTATCTTTTTTTTTTTGCACTATATATAAAAAAAAAAAAAAAAAAAAAAAAAAAAGGTTGAAAAGAAAAAAAAAAAAAAACAGTTTTTCTTTGTTTCTATTATAAAATTTTGCAAACAGGTCATTTTTTTCCTTCACTGATGTGTGTTGATGAGGCTGCACTGTTGAGGTGGTACGGATAGGCAGCACTGATGGGGCACTGATAGGTGGTACAGATGAGGCAGCACTGAGAGGCTGCACTGATAAGGTGGTACTGGTGGGCATTGATGAGGAGACACGGATGATGCTGCATTGATATGCAGCAATGATGGTCACTGACAGGCAGCACTGATGACTGACGGCACTGACAGCCCTGCCTAGCAGCACTGATTGATGGGCAGTACTGCTGGGTATTGATGGGTGGCACTGCAGGGCACTGCTGTGACAGCGTGAGGAAAGTGCTGCTGTTGACTCGCAACTGTATTTACGCCATGATCTGCTGTGTCTGTAGGGAGCGCATGGGAGGGCATGTTCTGTGAGGACGTCATATGACGCCCTCCCAGAACTGGGTAACCGCACTATAGCTGTCATTCGGCTAAAGCGCGGTTACCAAGTGGTTAAGAGCTCCTGGGGACAGGACAATAGGGAATCGCCCTTCCTCACAGAAACAGTTGCTTTGAGGCAGACTCTGTTGGCTCCAATTATGACCAGACAATGAAGAGATTTTTTTTGAGGGCTTTGGAACAGGGCACAAAGATGGAAGGACCATCTTCATTGAGGTAGAGAATACTGCATCTTACTACGATACAGATCAGTGTAAAAGTTCTGGAAAACCCTCAAAATATCTAAAGGGTGATAGAGCCCAGAGAAGTGACAATCGAGGCAATAGAATTTGAAAGGTTCCATAAACTGGCTATAACAGCTAGCAAGTTTCCAGTATTTAACCCATCTGCAAAATGCTAACAGCGAGTAAAAAGTACCAGTTCCACTTACTGGAAACTGTGTTACTGGGAATCTTCTAGGGTGGCACGCCTGAGATGACTAGCTCCACCTGACAGGAAACAATCAAAAATTGACAGTTTAAATTCCCCGCCCTTTCCTCCCCTCAGTTTATGCAAGAGTATTCCTGCGCCCCGGTGCACCAAAAGGTATTCTAAATCAATTTAAACACCAGATATGGGTGGGAAGTAGGTCTGCCGTCCTGGAAGATTTCCCAGAAACACCATTACTTGTAAGTGTAACTGGTACTTTTCTCCAGTCATCTTCCAGGACGGCACACCTGAGACGATAAGCAAGAATTCAGGCCTGTAATACCTTCCTGCCGAATGCCAGGTCCTGTGGTGACAACAGCTCTACTCTGTAGTGTCTCACGAAGGTGTCCTGGCTTATCTATGTGGCTACTCTGTGAGCCCTCAGGAGTTAAGGAACTGAAACTCCCAATTGCTCGTAAGCTAAGGAGATGGCTTGTCTGATCCATCTAGCTACTGTTGGTTTAGATCCTTGCTGACCTTTCCACGGTCCGCTAAGCAAAATCACAAGGTGACTCGACTTCTTGAAGTTAATTACTCTACCAAAACATGTCAGCAAATACCTTCTGACATCTAAACAATAAAAAACGCTTTTCCCTTTCATTCTTAGGGCTTTGGGAAAAAAAAAAAAAAAAAAAAAAAAAAAAAAAAAACGGTAGGACAATCTCGTGTCTTGTGAAATCAAGATGCCACCTTGGGCAAATAAAGGGGATCCTGTCTAAGAACTACCCTGTCCTCCAATACTACCAAGAATGGTTTCTTGATCGACAGGCTCTGGAGGTCACCTATCCTCCTTGTTGTACAGCTAACCGGAAGATAACATCCTAACTGAAATCTGTGCCACTGGCTCAAATAGTGGCTAGGTTAACATTTCTAACACCAGGATTAGATCCCAAGCCAGAAAACTATGAATCTTAATAGGGGTTCATCCTTTCCCTGGCCCTCAGAAACCTCTTAACTAGGGGTCCTGATGCAAGTCTCTGGTCCAAATAGACCCATAAGGCTGCCACTTTTACCCTTATACTGCTATGCCTTTATCCACTCCTACCTGGAGAAAGTCTTAAGACCACAGGGACTGTGGGAAGAGAAACCCCCCCCCCCCCCCTTTTATTTTTTTACACCAACTAGAAAACACAACCAACACCTTGGTCTATATCTTCCTAGTCACCTGTTTCCTACTGAGAAGAGTGTATTACCTTTTCAGAACACCCCCTTCTCCTAAAGATATCCCTTTCAAGAGCCAGGCCATTAATCAAAAAAACTCTGGATTGGGGTGCAGTGTTGGCCTCTGCAAGAGAAGATCCTTCCTGACTGGGAGATGCTGTGGGGGAGCCATGGACCGCCTCTTCAAGGTGGTGAATTAGGCTCTTCTCAGCCACCACGGAGCTAGCAGGATCAATCTGCAGCTTGGCTGGTTCAACTTTTGTAGCACTCACGGAATTAATGCCAAAGGGGGGAATGCATATGCCAGCCCAAAGTTCCATTCCTGTGCTAATGCGTCCAGACCCTTTGACCCTTGTTCCCAGGCCATGGAGAAAACATCTCACTTTCATGTTTTTCCTGCAGGCAAAAAGGTATTATTTCTGGGTTGCCAAAGACCTGACTTAACTGCAAAAAGACCTCGGGATTGACTGTCAGCTGAGAAAATCTGTTTTCGTGTTGGCCAACCCCTTTATGTGAACCAACGACACTGAAAAAAACTCTGCTCTCTGCCCATCCTAGTATTTCCTGAGCTGGGCCCAGGAGTTTCCAGGATCTGGTGCAACCCTGATGATTCAGGTATGCTACTGTCAACGTATTGTTCGAAGATGGGATTGGGGGAAAAGAAGGCCAAATTCTGTTGAAGGACTTCAAGGCCTGACCTACTGCCAACAACTCCCTGTGATTGGAGGAGGTCCCCCTTTGGTGTGGTTCCCACGGGCCCTGAGCTTGTCAGTCCTCTAGATGAGCTGCCCAGCCCCACTGGCTTGCGTCCATGGATACCCTCACTGGGTCCCACTGCGTCCAGTCTTCCTCCCCCAGATTCTTGGGCTTGATCCACCATCTTAGCAAGTCTTTGATATTCTGCGGGAGTGACACCCTCTCTTCCAGCGAACCAATGTTCTTGTCCTAGAAGGATAGAAGGAAGAACTGAAGCTCCCTGGAATGTAGCTGCGCCCAATCCACAGCCGGTATATAGGCTGTCATGAGCCCTATGACTCTCGTGATGTGCCTCCAGGATCAATCTGGAGCCAATATCAACCCAGAAGCAGGCCCACTACCTTGTCCATCTTTTCTTGGGGTAAGAAGAGCCTCTGGACCCTGGAGTCCACTACGTACCCCAGGAAAAGCTTGGTCTGGGAGGGAGTCAGAGGAATTTTCCCGATTGACGATCCACTCCAGCAATTCCAAGGTGAGGATTGCTTTCTCCAGATCTCTCAGGACTTGTTGCTGTGAGAATCCGTAGATCAACAGGTTCTCTAGTTAAGGGATGGGGGAAATCCCCTGAAGGTGTAAATATGCCACTATTTCGGCCAGGACTTTGGTAAAGATTCTCGGACTGACCACAACCTGAACGGAAGGGCTCGGAAGTGCCAATGACTGACTCCCTTCTCTGTGAATATGGTGAACCATAAGGCGGCCTGGGAACATGGTGGTAGGCGTCCCTGAGGTCCACCGTGGCCATAAACACTCTTTAGAGCGGAGGACGGCAGAAAAGGTCAGGGAATTTAAACTCTATCAATTTGTGATTGTGTTTCCTGATAGATGGGGCTAGCCATGTCAGGTGTGCCATCCTGGAAGATGACTGGAGAAAAATTATTTGCCCTCTGCGTTTCCATACAACGTTTGCTTGCATAACAACTGGGCATCCTTCCAAGAGCAAAAGGACTGGGCAGAAGGGGCAGATAAGTATTGTTTCTCAATTCCCTGGACCTCATCAGACAAAAAGCTTTCCCATTCCCTACTGGATTTCTTAAATACACTAATCTCCTTAATAAGCAAGCCCCTCAAATTGTATCCCAGGCAATAAAAGGTGATGTGGAGAAATTGTTTTGCTGAGAAAATTCCCACAAACATCTCCAAATGACATCACCCCTTGAGAGGGCTCATAACCAAATTGGGCTGATTCACCAGTTAGGGCGCTTAGAGGACTGA